CTGGGACGGCCATCTTTTATCCTAGGATCACCAGTGGCTCACACAGCTTTTGGCACAAAGTATGTCTTTAGTAAACAGGTGTCTGATACACGATGAAAAGGAAAAAGGATGGGGTACCTGGGTGGCTCAGTCGGTTAAGCTTCTGCCTCTGGCTCAGGTCATGATCCCGGGGTCCTGGGATTGAGTCCCGAATTGGGCTCCCTGCGCGGCAGGAGGCCTGCTTCTCCCTCTCCCCCTGCCTGCAGCTCCCCCTGCTTGTGCTTGCATTCTTGCTCTCTGTCAAATAAATAAAATCTTAAAAAAAAAAAAAGAAAGAAAGAAAAAGAAAAGGAAAAAGGCTGCCATAAAGTTCCTTACAGAATTGAAATATAATCCACAGAAACCATTTTAGGAGCAAACTCTACAGCCAGCAAATATTTTCCCCAAGGACGGCCAAATGTTTACTAGCATTTGCATATCAAATGAGCTGCAATAACCTATTTGGCAATGAGGGAAAAAAAAGAAAGGAAAGAATGTGCCAGGCACAGGGCCTGAGACCGGATGAGACTTTTACAAATGCACAAGACAAGCTTCTTTCCCTCCAGGAGCTTCCAGGCCACTTGGAGAGAGGCAAGTACCCCAAAATTTAATATTCACTCTCTTGGCTCCTCCTATGGATAAGGCTTTTTTTCTTTTCTTTCTTTCTTCCTTTCTTTTTCTTTCTTTCTATTTTATTTATTTGACAGAGAGAGAGAGCACAAGCAGAGCGGGCAGCAGGGAGAGGGAGAAGCAAGCTCCCTGCTGAGCAGGAGCCTGATGCGGGGGCTCGATCCCAGGACCCTGGGATCATGACCTGAGCTGAAGGCAGATGCTTAACTGACTGAGCCACCCAGGTGCCCTTGTGTTTTTCTTCAGGTGTAAAATGGTGAGTGAAAACAGGACTGGCTCTCAGTCTTATGTCGGGTAAGGGTTGAGACTCAGACATTAATCAAATAATCACTGGCATAATAATAGCAGCTATTCTATATAGCGGCTAGTATGTGCCAGGAATATTTTTAATACTTTACATAAAGTAATGCAGGCACATTCTATGAGGAGTACTCTTACTATCTTCATTTTCTAGAGACAGAAATTGCAGCACAGAGAGGTTAAGAAACTTGCCCAAGGTCAGAGAGCTGGTCCACACAGTCTGGATCCAGGGTTCATTTTTATAACCATCCACTCACCTGCCTCCATGCTGTGTAAGATATGGCATAGACATATTTACAAGGTCCGTGAAGGGAGGCTGGATGGTGTTACAAGAACATGTAACAAGGACATCTCAGTTTTTCTTGGTTTGTCTGAAGGCTGAGTACTGTAAACCAAGCAAAGAGGGGTGGTGGGAGAGGGAAAGACATGAAATTGGTAGCAACGGAGGGGAGAGTATGGAAGCACCTGGATATAGTGGTTCATCGGAGGTGGTGGTGGTGGGGGGGAAGGAATCTGGAAGGCCTCACGGAGGAGGCAGATCTGAAGGAATTCAAATATTGGTTTAGTTTGTAGAGAAGATAGGAAAAGTAGACATCATGAGCTCAGACTAAACCTAATTAATTTGGGGGACAGGAAGACACTGGTTACTAGGATTCTTTCAGTTGCGAGTAGCAGACACTCAATTTGAACTGGCCCAAGAAAACAAGGACTTTACTGGCTTGAGTTGCTGAAAAGTACAGAATATAGATCCGGCAGCAAGTATATGAATGATGTTGTTAGGATCTCTCTTCCATTCCTCGTTTCCATTTTTCCACGTTGGCTTGGATCTCAGGCCGTGGAAACATGGAAGCTCTAGATTTTATCCTATCACTTCAGCAAACACGAGGAGAGGAGTACTTGTTTCTCTAAATGCCCCCCCCCGGGGACTCTCATTGGCTCAGCTTATACTACGTTCTCCTTGTTGAACCAATCACTGTGGCTGGTCCATGAGCGGTGCTCTCATTGGCCAGGCCTGGACCACATGCTTTCCTCTGGACCCAGAAGGCAGGGTCAGCCATACTTGAACCCTAGGTTCTGAAAATGGTGAAGTTGCCCACAGTAGAATCTAGAAACCAGGCAGGCCAAAACTGAGACTTCCACCACAAGCGGTTGGCTGGGGCAGTGCTCCTCATACTTTACATGCAGAGTCTCATTCAGTAGGTCTCGGGTGGGACCTTAGAGTCTGCACGTCGAACAGCCTCGCTGGTGAGGCCAATGCTACAGGTTCACGGACCACACTGTGGAGCAAGGGGTATAACACCTGGACTGCCTCCCTCAAATTTATTTAGGCTGTTCAGTGCTAGCCTGTATCCCATCCTACCATTTGTCTACTTTTCTCAGTTTTGACTCTATACCTTTACACTAGCTGGCCCGTATGTGTGAAATACTTTTCTTCCACGTTCTCCCATTAACTTGTCAACATTTTTATGACTTTACCTCTTATTTCCTCCAAATGTTTCCTGAGTGAAGCTGAGGCTAGGCTTATTCTTCAACTGATGTCTTTTCCAGTTTAGACCTGTGAACACTAACCTTGTGGTAGGGTAAAAATGTATTTAATTATTCATGAGTCTGACAAGATCTGCGGTGTTCATTGATTTGTTGTGTATGTAATTCACTGCTGAGTTTCAATCTGGGTGTTTGTCTATATTGAACACTTCGGTTTTAGGCAATAGGCTGTTAGAAGGCATGCAAAAGATCCTTTGAACATGCTGATGTAGCACTCAGTAATCAGCACGGGAGTTTTGACCAGCTCCGTTTCCGACCTGGGCCGGTTCACCCCTCCTTAGGCAACCTGGTGGTCCCCCGCTCCCGGGAGGTCTCCATATTGATGCCGAACTTAGTGCGGACACCCGATCGGCATAGCGCACTACGGCCCAGAACTCCCGGGCTCAAGCGATCCTCCTGCCTCAGCCTCCCGAGTAGCTGGGACTACAGGCGCGCGCCACCGCGCCCGGCATAGCACTCAGCAATCAGATGATGTTCAATTTTCATTGTCAGTGGTGTTTTTGGTCCTCTGGACTTTGCAAGCCACTGTGCCGATATTGGCAGAAATACTGAACTCTATTATGGTATCAAATTTCCGTATCATTGAAGGCTTTGGATTAATGCCTGTAGAATGGAATGTCTGTGAAATTGAGTGCTGAGGCCTGAGTTTTAGACTCAGGTTTGCTCCTGAACTTGTTTTGTGACTTTCTTCAAGTCTTAAAACCACTCTAGGCCTCTTATCCCACTGGCCATATTGGGTGTCTTGCTGTCCTCTACTCTCCTGCAGTGCTCCACCAGCTTAGCAGACCCACTTCATTTGTAACATGTGGCTGACGCTGTGTAGGTAGGACACCTGACCCTCTAAGCCTTCTTTTACCCATCTGCAAAAGACAATAATAATCATCTGATGTTACGGTGGCAATTGAAGGTCATGAATGTAAAGAACGTCATGACTGACAGTGTTAAGAAATCATAGTTTATTATCCATCAATATCTTTTTGGAAAGATGTTGGCTGAATGACTTTATAAGCAGGCGTATTACTCCTTAAATCCATTGAAATATACAGAGTCACCATGATACTGGAGAACGTCACTCAGCAGTTTTCTTTACACCCCAGTTCTGCAGATATCAGCTATCAATGGCCCGCATACGTGACACGAATAACACTTCATAAATAAGGGAGTATTTATGTATTTCCCAGTATGTTAGCCTTGGTTAGAAAAAATCTACCTTCAATTATATTAGTTTCTCTTCTAATTCAATTTGTCATTAAATATATCGGTTTAAGAATTATCACAGGTTCCACTTGTACAGTAGGACCTCTGTTGAAAGCACTGAACTGCAACTTTGTAGAATTGTTTCACATTCAGGAATTGGCTTCTCCACTTCCGGTGAACAAATTGGCTAAACCGTGTAGATTCGCGCTTTGAGCCAGAAGCCACGACCTTTTATGCAGGAAATGTGTCTAAACCGATGCTGCACCCTTCTCAAAACCTAAAGACGTTAGGTCCGCGAGAGAGGTTTGTTTTATCGATGCGGAAGAGTTTGGTTCTCGGTCTATCCGGATTCAAATCCCTCCTTGGACAGTCTCTAGTCCTCACCCCGAACCCAGACTTCTCTTTTCTACCTGCTAATGTCACAAATTGCCCGAGCGCGCCGTTGCTGGCCTCCGCCCAAACCCAGATTCCTCTCTCCTCCCGGCGCCCTCTACCAGGCGGGCGGCCCGCCGCTGGCCAGGGCTTTCCAACAACCCCATGTCCTGACCCCATTTACTTCTTGGGTCCCCGCCGGTGCCATCTGGCTGGAACCACGGGGAGAAACTAAAAGTTGTACGTAGGTCATCCTGCCCCTTGCCTTCTTCACTCGCCCCAAATGCAAAACCCGGGGCTGCTGGGGGACAAGCTGCTGGAAGGAAAAAGCTTAGACGGGAAACGGCCTCGCGTCCCCGCCGGCCCTCTCTGCGGCGCCCGCCTTCCCCAGGCCGCGGGCCGCAGGAGGCGCGGCCCCTCGAGTCGTCCAGCGTCCAAGGCCGTCCCTGGTTCCCTCGGGCCCCTGGCGGCCGGCGCCGCCGCGTCGGGGTCGGTCCGGGGGAACCCGCGAGGCGCGGCTGCTGCAGTCACGCGAGCGAGGGCCTGGCCCGGCGCTCCAGCCCAAAGAGGGTGAAGCAGGAAATAAAGAGGCGACGAGAAAGGCCGGGCTGGGGGTGGGGGGGCGGGAGCCCGGGGGCACGGGCGCAGGAGCGGCGGGGACGGGGCGGGGCCGGGCGCGCGGCGGGAGCGCTCTGAGCGCGGGCTGCACGCGGCGCGCTCGGGCCGCCCCTCCTCCCTGCGCCGCCGGCCGCGGCCCAGGCTCCCTCGCTCCGCCACTCCCCGCCCCTCAGCTCTCCCTCCCGCCTCCCCGCCTTCCCCGCCCTCCCCGCCTCCTCCACCTCCACCTCCTCCTCCTCCTCCTCCCTCCCGGCCTCCCTCTCCCAGCCAAACTGCAAGCCGGACCCCAGGCCGCCTCCCCGCCGCCGCCGCCGCCGCCCCGCCGCCGCCCGGCCTCCCCGCGAGCGCTCCACCATGGACAGTCCTGTTTTCACCTTATAAAGATGGCGGTGCGGGATCGCTGCAACCTTTAGACTAATGACTGTCCGAAACATCGCCTCCATCTGTAATATGGTGAGTGGCGGCCGCCGCCGCCTCGGGGGTCGTGCCCGAGGCGCGGCGAGGCGAAGAAAGGGAAGCCCGAGCCGCACACCCGCCGGGCGCCGGGGTGGGGGCGGGGGGCGGCGGGGTTCGCGCAGCGCGGCCACAAGTTCCCGGCCCCCGCGCTTGGCGGGCGGGCCGCAGCCCCAGGGGCGGCCCGGGGAGGGGCCCGATCCCCCGCCCCCCTCCCAGCCCCGGGACCCGGGACCCGGGAGCTCGCCCGCCGGTGCCCGGCCGCGCCGCCTTGCCTCCGCCCTCCGGCTGCGGTGGAAGCGTCTGGGGGGTGGGGGGAGAGCGATAAGCTGGGGATGGGGGGCACCCATCCTGCCCTTGCGGTAGATAAAGCCCTACCGGTCTCCCTGACCGCCCTCGTCTCATTTTGAGTTCACTCTTTAAACTATATTAAAGGCAATCGGTGTATCTGGAGAAATTTGAAATGTAATAAAGCTGTAAGGAAGTGCAAAATTGTGGTTAGAGAAGTGAACTTCTCCCTGGTTTGGGAAGCACGGTAATTTGTTTTGGATGCCTCAATTTCCCCACCTGTGAAAGAGGGACAAGGTTATTTAGCAGTAACATTTGGAGGCCCTGAAGGTGGGGCCGTCTTTGGGCGTGGAGGAGGTCTCCAGTTATCTTGCCTGATCTGCTGTAGACCCCTCGGAGGCTGGTCTGAGCGTGGTCAAAGCAAGGGGACATCATGGGGCTCTGGTGGGGCTGGGTCCATGATGTGGTGCTCACTTAAACTTGGGTTTCTCCCATTGCTCTCCCTTCCTTTTCAGTTTTTGCAGGAAGAGCCTCTAGCCCTTGGGTTCCCAGGGTGCACCCTGCAGGCACCCCTGCTTGCCAGAGCTTTAGGAAGCTTAGCTTGCCCCCTGGAATAAGGCAATTGCCCTCCCGTGCAGGGTGAGAGAGTGTGTGCCTTGCCGTCACTCTCCAGGGTCCCCTTCCCCTTCACCAAAGGGCTACTCCCCCAGCTGGAACACGTGTTCATTTAATGCCAGTTTGGGGAAAACCTCCCTTGAAGCTAATAATACAGGCCCCTAAAGGGAATCTGAGAAGGCTTGATTGAGAAGCCTTGGGGTAAGGTGATCTGGCTGCCCTTCCCCCATCACCACAGCTTTTTAAATCTTCTGTCCCACATTCTCCTGCACGATTAACACCCGGCGGCAAAGGAGCCCTGTGTTAGCTCAGGGGTGGCATCAAGACCCAGCGGCGCCGGCTTCAGTTTTCAGCACCGTTGGCCATTGCTGCCGCGATGGCTGGGGCTTCCCAGAGTGAGAGCTGCAGGACCAGTTAGATGTGGTGGGTGGCTCCTGGAGCCGTTCCATTTCCTCTCCTTTCCTTCCTTCTCCACACAGAGACAGGTCTCCTGCTCCTTCCTGTCGAGTGGCATTAACACTGGCTTGGTGCAGTGAGAAGGTGATGCCTTTCTTCTCGCTGTCTCTCTATGCTAAGACCAGTTCCTGAGGGGCACCGGGAAACCGGAGCAGCTCTAATCCTTCTGCTTGCCTGCTGTGTGGCCTCAGGCTTACGGGGCGGTGAGGCATGGTCCCAGCTCTTGGTGGTGGTCCTCTCCTGCCTGTGTGTGCTGACGCCTCGCTGTAGTGAAGTAGCCTGGGAACTTGAGAGCTTACATGTCCCAAGAGGAAGCCAGCGTCCAGCTCCCTGCCCCCGCCAGTGAGGCTGGGGCTTCTTGGCACACCTGGGCAGGATGTCACAACCAGGTTCCAGTAAAACTCAGGGAGGCAGGCTGCAGGGGAGGCATCACTACTGGGTCTGCAGAGTTGACACCTCATGTGGAATCCCTGAAAAAGCACCAGAGTTAGGCTCGACATCCGGGTGAAGTGAGGAGCTGGTAATGTCTAAGTAGGGAGTTTTCTGTTCGTATTTGTACACTGTGTCTTGAGCAAGTGCAAGTTCTGGTTCTAACATGTACCAGCTTTTTGTCCTGGAACGAGTTGCTGTCTTAGTTTCCTTACCTAGAAAAAGGGGGTGACAGATATCATTAGGCTGTTGTATTAAATGAGCTCCTGCACTGCAGGGCCTAGCACATAGCAAGAACTCGGGGAGGGCTAGCTGTTATTATTAACATCTTTCTCATTATTATGTCACCTTCCAGTGGTTTAAAGAACGATGAAGATGATACGCTCTTGGAAGCAGCCACTAATATAAACAAGCCCACGTTCACTTATGCAAAGTTCATTTATGCAAACCAAGCCGAAAGGCAGTATACAGAGGCTGGGATGTGAATCCTTAACCCCGCCCCTTATAAAAGACTGCTCAGGTCACCCCTGCCCCTCCCCGTCTCACTTCCCACGAGAGAAGGCTTGGTGATGAGGAGTCTGCTGTCTTTTCACCTGATCAATGTACATTTTCACCAGACCCCTCTTTAGATTCTTCACTGGATGATGAATTGTTTCCAGGTAGGTCTTGTCTGAATCTCTGTTTACTGTTTCGTTCCTCTCTGGGGCTCTAATTGGTCCTTTCCACTCCTAACATGATTAGGGCCTAGCTGGTTTGCGTAGTTGTAGTAAGAGCAAGTGACATTTTCTTTTAAGCAGCTTGTTTGGCATATTTTAAACAGGCTGATGTGTCCAGAAAGGGTGTTAAAAGATACCGTCCTCCCAGGTAAGACTTGAACAAACCAAAACCTAGCTTTGAAAAGCAGATTTGTTTCCTCTACCAGACAGGAAAGGACCCAGCAGAGCAGAAACAAAACTTGTAGCAAATCCTTTATGTGATTGAAGAATGAGCACCTTCTCTTTCCCTCACACTTCTCCTGCCTGTTCTAGATACGGGGGTGTTGGAAAATATCCACATCCCTCTGCTGGTCGCCTTCCACACTGAAGTTTTATTGTCCACTGGAAGTTTAATGCTAGTTCCTATTTGTTTGAGTTTTATGTTCATGTGAACTCCTGCCACAGTGATTCTTGATCAGCTTGCTTGTGTCAGCTTAGCCACACAGCGTGTGTGCTTCAGAGATAGTAAAGCTTGTTTGGCTAGTGTGTTGTAATTTGTAAAATGTACTAGCTGCTACCAAGCATGAGGAAATGTTCCTTGTTGGTAATCCTCTGATTTTTGTCCAGATCAATGGATTTAACTTATGTATTTTTATGACCCTACAAATGGAAAGTCCCCTCCCCAGTTTGAAGAGCTTGAGAAAGTTTCTGAAGGGGAAGCATTTGCTATAGGAGAAACCAAATGTGTCCTCTAGAAATGTGACTTGTACCAATGCAAATTGGTCTGAATCATCAAGTTTTCAGTTCATTTAATAGCACTGTAAGATGTACCATCGAGAAAATGCTGTGTGTCAGATAGACTACGTTTTTGTTCCCGTAAGCAACCATTTGTTGAGGACCTGCTATGTTATGGTTGGCATATACCATGTGTAGGTACCTCATAAAAGAATGGGGTGAGTCCCTATCCCCAAGGAGCTCAGCAGTTTCTTTGTGGGCGTAACATTGGTAAAGACTAAACAATTTAAATATGTGTTATCTGCACAGATAAAGGTTGAACAGAATCTCAGAAGCAATGCAGTGAAAAGACTGATGAACACAGCAGGACATTTCTTTAATATGATTTGCATTTGACCAAAGTTTGATTATTTTTTTTGTATGAGGACGTGATTCTAGTCAATGTAACTTTGACCTGGCATCTGTATCCCAGGGGCTGTCTGTGCAGTGAAGCATGAGTGTTATGGTAACTTTGGACAGATTGTTGTATTTCTTGGGACCCTAGTCTTTCTCACCTTGTAAAGTTGATACATTTTTGGGGGCTTGTCCAAAGCTTTTTAGTGAACAGTATTTCTTAGAGTCTTTATAAAAAAAATCTCCTTCACAAGATGGGGCAAGCATCTGAAAGATCAAGTCAAGGCAGTTTGTGAAAAGTCTGATGAAGAGGGAGGGACCAAGTTGTCTCGAGGTCAGTGAGCTGATCTACAGTCCATCCCTGAGGATGCTGCTGTCAGAAGCTCATGGAAGGATATAGGCTTTGAGGATTTCTCAAAAGAGGGTGCACCCAGGGTGGGGGCGGAGGGGGTGGTCTACGGCCAGTGGGGTCACTTTCTCTCTCAGTCTTCTTTGGGCCAGTGGCACCTACCTACCGTTGACTGACCAAAGGTTCCAGCACACCGATGGGAAGTCTTGTGGAAGGCAGAATGTCCTGTGAGGACGGAGTGGTGGGCCTTGGCCTCCCCAGCACTGCAAACCACAGGAGAAGTACCAGCCCCTAGATGGGGACTGACCTGTCTCTACTTCACTTTGAAACTCCTCCACACAGTATGTTATGAACCAAGCACTATAATTTTCTTTTTTTTTTAACTGCTTTATTGACATACATACTTGTCACATATTTAATTTTTTTTTTAAAAAAATTTCCTTCTCATAATTGGCTCTCAACCAATTAAGGACCTAATTACCTTATTTAAAACTGTGTTGAATTTACCAGATACTAGCATTTTAGTTTTCCTTGAACAGTCCCAGGATATTATTGGACACCACAGTGAGTCCCATATTTGAATTGTTTTAAATAAATGAAGTCTCCCTGATAGTAAGGGAAGGTAGAATTAGTAAAAATTGGAATCAAAGCTAGAGGATTTTATAGAGGTCGTTTTATCTTGCTGAGTCAATCACCAGAGGCAGTATTTTTGAGACTAGTTGGAAAAATTCTCTAAAACTATTAAAAAAGTACATATATCTTATAATTTGGGAGAAGACATAATTTGTCTCTTCCTCTAGTATTGTTACTGTTGCTTCCCATTCTTAAAGATAATTGGAGACTGTAAGCTTAATGTGTCATCTGGGAGTGGTTAAAGTCATGTGTGAGGGTCTACTGTGATAGTTGTCAGATTTTAAAAATTGCAGTCTGGGGTGGGGTGGGCTGATGTTTAAAGAAAAATTCTGTTCTTTTGGTCTCGGTGTAATATGTAGATGTTTGTGTTGGGTCAGGACCTGACAATTAGCCCTTAGATTTTTCTC